GATAGGCAGTTTTGTAAAAATCACTATAAATTGTAGAAAAATCGTATGAAGATGTGAGAAACGCGAGGTTCGGTCCTAGGCCGAGGTTCGGTCCCTAGGCCGAGACTCGGTCCATGCTGAGGATTGTAGCCGGAAACAAACAGAGGGAAACGAAGGGGCGAGGAGGTGAGAAACGAGAAGGCGCGAACCGGAAGTGAAAGGCGAAGGCAAGGGTTCGGTCCGGCGATGAAAGGCAAGAAGTCAGAACCGAACGAACTGTAGTGAACAGTAGTGAACAGTACCTTCGGTTCGGTTCTTCCAGGGCGAGGTTCGGTTCGGTTCCTCTTGAGCAGGGTTCGGTTTCGGTTAGTGGTGAACAGTACCTTCGGGTTCGGTTCGGCTCAGGAGGGTTCGGTTCGGTTCAGGAGGGTTCGGTTCGGCTCCTCTTGCTCTCAGTCCCTAAGAGGACCTTCGGGTCCTAAGAAGCTTCTCTCTTGGTTTCGGTTCCTAATGTCTATTTTTCTCGTTTTTACCCCGTTTTAAGCTGTTTTTGACACGGTTAAGCGTCGGAATGACCCGGATGATTCTAAAAAGTTACGGGAACTATTTGAGAGAGATTCGGGAGAGATTTCTCACACTTGGAGAGATTTGGGAGAGATTTGACATTCTTGGAGAGATTTCTCATACAAAGAGATATTTGCGAGAGTTTTCACATACTTAGAGGGATTTGGAAGAGATTTGACATTCTTGGAGAGATTTCTAATACAGAGAGATATTTGAGAGAGATTTCGCATACTTGGAGAGATTTGGGAGAGATTTGACATTCTTGGAGAGATTTCTCATACAAAGAGATATTTGCGAGAGTTTTTCACATACTTAGAGGGATTTGGGAGAGATTTGACATTCTTGGAGAGATTTCTAATACAGAGAGATATTTGAGAGAGATTTTGCATACTTGGAGAGATTTGGGAGAGGTTTGACATAGAGAGAGATAGTGTGGAAACGATTGAGAGAGGTTCCGTGTGGGATAGTTGTGAGTGTCCGGCATCGAAATGTATGGTTCGTGAACCCTATTAAGCCTTGTTTAAGGATCTTACACATTCCCGATGAGTATGCAACATTGTTTTATCGGTCTAGTTCATTGATTAGAACTAGGGTTTAGGAAATTTTTAACACAAGACTTTTCTCAAGTGATGTTTTCCCATTAATATAGCAAGTTATACAGTATGAACATAACACAAACCCTAATACACAAGGTTTAATCGAGTTGACCAGTCTTGACTTGATGACTTGACTTGACTCAAGATTGACGATTGTCACATGAAGCATTTCCTCAATATTCTGAATAGTCTGCTCACTCTGACCATCGGTCTGAGGGTGATAGGCAGTGTTGAAATGCAATCTCGTACCCAAATCCTCATGAAACTTCTTCTAAAACCTGGAAGTAAAACGTACATCCCGATCCGACACAATCGAAATCAGTACCCCATGCCGAGACACTATCTCCTTCACATACAACTTTGCCAATTTCTCCGTAGAAGAGCTCTCACTGATAGAAAGAAAGTGGGCACTCTTCGTCAGTTGATCCACTATCACCTAAATCGCATCGACACCCCTTGGGGTTATGGGTAACTTGGTGATGAAATCCTAGAGATCTGTTCCCACTTCCACTAGGGAACCTCGAGTGGCTGCAAGTTACCATGCGGACGCTGGTGATCAGCC